AGAGCCGCCATCTAACCCTGACTGGGACTCCAGCGAGGGCTTCCGAGAGGAGATGGTTTCTAAGTCGAGTCACAAAAACCTGGCGGCCAGGAAAGAGGCTGAGGCAGTGGGAAGAGCAGGCATTCAGGCAGCAGGGCCCCGTGCAAAGGCCTGGGCCCAGCTAGAGGCAGAAGAGGAGGGTCGCAAGATTCACTACAGCTGCAGGCAGGTACAGCAGGGCACGAGCAGGAGTAGGTCCAGGCAGGACTCATGGCATCCAGAGGCGTCTGAAGGGCCATGGATGTCATGTGGAGCACCACTGCCCCAGATGGAGGGAGCACATGTCACAGGGCCCAGCTGCTGCAGGCACACCCTGCTGCCTCCCACTGATGGGGGACGAGGCCTGGACAGCAGTGCTCTGCCCTGGGGGCAGGCTCTCAGGACTCAGGCAGCACTGCCACAGCCATCTCCTGGATGAGGGAAGCAGGGTGGACTGAGCATGAGGGAGTAGTGCAGCACAGGAGGGGTCGATGACATGAAGACAGTGTGGCCTGGGGGTGAAGGGGGCACAGACGTGGAGGAGTAGGTGTACAGCATGTTGGGTGCGAGTGGGAAGAAGCCCTCCCAAAGACTGCCCAGACACCCTGAGCAATGCACTCACTGGTGAGCTCAGGGATCTTTTCATGACAATGAAATACATTGTGACATTTAACATAAGGGACTGCGGGGGACAGCACAGGAAGAAGTCATTTCCTAGCAAAGGGCTGCTGGGCCGCATTTCCGGTGCAGGCAGGAAGGCTATTATCCGTGGAAGGCGTCAGCTGGCTGAGGCTTAGGGCCCAGATGGGGTCTTCACTAGCACATGACACTCATGGCTGTCCCCTGCTCCATGTGGATGCAGTCAGGCAGCCAGGGGTGACCTTTGGGGCTTCCGACCCTCCCCTACACACACCTACACAGTGCTGTGGTACCAGCCTTATAGATGTGCTTGCTGAGATGACACCTGGGGTCTCCACCTCACTAAAGCCCCTGCCCCGCCCGTCACTGTGATGTGTGCCTATTCCTCCGGCCAGTGTCCGCTCTAGGACCTGGCCTGGGCCCTCCCACCTGTTGGAAACTCCTCCCAGCACCCCCTCTCGCAAGGCCTCTCAAGAAGGCTGTGGGCCTGCAGCCCGTGGAATGGACTCCGCGCAGGGAGTGTGGTGGCTGGACCTGGGGGTGTGTATTTTCCGATGCCTCCTCTATTGACCTTTAATTACACTGTTTGCCCAGCTTCCCAAACCATTAACTTCCACCTCACAGCGACCATTCGTCAATTAACAGAGGGCCTGCTCGAAGCTCGAGCTCCTGAGCACAATTAGGCGTGACAGTCCACAAATAAGAAAGAACTAGAGAATTAATTAAGGTCTAAGCAAATTAATTACCAGTCCCCAATCGATTCCGATGCCAGCACACATGCTCCTGGGCTCACCGTCTTTCCCAACATCTCCATGTATAAATAGAAACAGATTTCCCACATGATTGCTGTTCTAGACCAGGGGCACAGCGCGGCCCTGAAACCACCTTGGCTGCAGCAAGCATCCTGGGGCTTCCCATGTACGCACCTGCTCGTGCACATGCATCGGTGCACACACACGCACACACATACACACAACCCTGGCTGAAAACCCAGGGGAGAACGTGGAGGCCTTGAGTAGCCCCTGCCACCTCTGGGCCACATACCTCAGTTTCTCAGCTGCAGCTGGCGAGGGGTCCTCCAAGCAGGCTGGGCCTGGGAGGCCTGGGGCTTGGCCAGCTCAGTGTAACTTTCAGCGAGTCTATGAAATGGGGACAGCACACTCTGCCTTCCGACCCCCCAGCACAGAATGTGGAGAACAGGGGAGAAGAGAGCCCTGCTGGGGGCACGAGCACAGCTGTGCAGACCCCTGGGAGTGCTGGGCTCTGCAAACTTGGGGAGGCATACAGTGATGTCAAGGAGGTCCCAACAGAAAGGTGCTGAAGGGGGTCTGGTCAGAGGCCTCATTTCCCGATGCGGCGACAGAGGGCAGTGCAGGGTGGGAGCAGGAGACTTAGATGCCGGCCCAAGTGTCCTCTACTTGGGTGTCTCAGGCCTTTCTGAGGCAGCACGTGTGGCCCAGAGAAGAGAAGTCTCCCCCAACCTCCCAGACTTCAGGCCGGAGCCCCAGGAGGAGCAGGGCAGAGCAATGGGAAGAAGTGACTGACTCCTGGGAGCCTCCTTGTTCCCCAGAGCTTGAGTTCCGGCCTGCCCACAAGGGTGGGAGTGAGGACGTGGTCCCAACCACTGGGCACACAGCCCTCTTGGGGATCCCCCTCACCCTGAAGAGCCCCTTCTGCTCCACTCTGCACACACATCCCAACAACCAGGGCTTAATACGATCACTCCACTTGCCTCAACCACTTCCCACGTGCACTCGCAGCTTGGCGAGTCCTGTCTTCCCATCATGCCAGCAGCCCTCAGGGGCAAAGGACCTGCTACCAGCTAAAGTATGGCTTGAGCCAGCTTCTCAATAGTCTTTAAGGGTGGCCCAGCCTGGCCCGGCCTGGCCTGCCTTGGAAAGCAGGAGTGAACGTTCGCAGGACTTAGGCCCTGCCAGAACCCAGGGGGCTTAGAGATGCTCTGTCTTGGCCAGGGGTTGGTTCCTGGGGATAAGATGGAGGAGGGACAACTGCAGGGACTGAGTGGTGGCCTGAAAGGACCAGGGGGTTTTTGAGCCCCTGGTGGGTGAGGGGCATTACCTATTCATCTCACGACTGTGTCAGTACTGACTAGGGGAATCGGCAAGTGCCCATTTGTTGGTGGGACTGGATGGACACCAGAGCCAGAGAGACGGAACAGGCCTGTGGGGAGCAGAGACCAGGGCTGGCGGTGGAAGGCAGGCGGGACTTCACACAGCCAGGGCTCGGGCAGCTGGGCCCGAGGAAGAAGCAGGAAGGGCCTGCTTCTCTCGGGATCCTGGCGAGGCAGGACTGCCAGGGCTGCGAACCACGCTGAGTGCAACCTGTGCAATGGGCTGGGGATATGCGGGATCCCAGGACCCCCAGCAGTGGCTGGACCTGTGTGAGGGAGCAATGAGAAGGTGGGAGGGGAATCAGGCTGGAGCCTAAAAAGAGACATGTCAGAAAATCTCAGACAGAGAGCAGGGACCCTCCTCCTGAAGGAGTCCCAGGGAGATTAAGACCACTCCAAGGTCACACAGCCAGCAGAGCAGGGCTGCGAAGCTCTTTTCTGAAGCTTGGCCGAGGGCAGATTACATCCCAGCCAGATCCAGTCCAGTGCAGCTGGGCGCTGCCCCCTTGTCGGGCTGCTTCTGACCCTGCAGGCCAAAGGTGAGGAATACCAGTTGGGCGGCCTGTTTGCTCAATTAGGCCCCTTACAAAGTCAGATCTAAAGAGTTATTCCATTAATGGCCCAGGACAGAAATAGCTGAGAGTTCATTAAAAGTGTGGAGTTGCTATAGCAATTATCTGGGTTGGCTGTGGCTTGGCAGGGTAGCTGGTTCTGGGAGTTCATTAGCCTCTGGGCCATCCAGGAGGTGGGGTGCCCAGTAACGATCTCCTACCTTCTCATGGGGGCCTTTCCTATCAATGGAATCTGGTCTGTGGCCTCGTTTGCTCCTCCCACAGGCCTGGGCCGTAGGGAGGTGAGTACTGGCACCTGCATTTTACAGATGGGGAAGCTGAGCCTGGAGGGGAAGAACAGAACCAGGACCACGAGCCTGGGTCTGACTCTAGCTTTTCAGACTGAACCTTGGCACCAGGGAGGTCACAGACCCTCATGCCCTGTGCTGGCACCGCCCCCATCTTTGTCCTCTGGCACAGAGGGAAAACTGGTGTTATGGTTTAAGCACTTGCTTATCCTTCTCTTTTGACAACTAACTATGCACTGCCTTGTGCTGCTCTCAATGTTGCTTATTTCTTTTTGATTTTTTTAAAAAATTACTGCTGGGCATGGTGCACATCGGTAGTCCCAGCTACTCAGGAGGCTAAGGCAGGAGGATCGCCTGAGCCCAGGAGTTTGAGGTTGCTGTGAGCTAAGCTGATGCCACCGTACTCTAACTTGAGCAACAGAGTGAGACCCTGCCTCAAAAAATAAAACAAAATAAAATAAGAGCCAAACTGGGCTTTTTGGCATCCTCATAACCCAGGCCCAGGGCATCCATTATGAGCCCTAAGTCCAGCAAAGACTCAGCTGAAGGCAGGAGACATCCTTCCTACATACACTTGTACACCCACAATCACCTCCTTACAAGAGAGGCCTCTAAAATCCAGAGGGCCACAAGACCCAAAGGCTTGAAATCTAAACTAGCAGAAGCTTCCAACCTTCTTTTGTGCCAGGAACCCCTCTGGCAGTCTGGTTAGGCCTATGTACCCCTCTCAGAATAATGTTTCTAAATATATAAAACCACATACATAGCATCACAAAGGGATTATATTGAAATAAGTTATCAAAATATTTTTAAAATTGTGATATAGTAATAGACATGCTTTTAAACTAATGAATTAAAAAGAAAGATCTAGTGGACATATTAAATATGACTTAATATTGAATATAAAGCATATTTTAAGATCTTTGTAACAACTGTAATGTGACACAAAAATATCTTTGATTTCTATTGGTGACAAAGTCACAGGTCTTGCTTCTTATTGTGGTTTGCTGCCTATATTCATAATGGAAAGAAATGTTAAACCGCAGTTAGAGGTTAGTGTAAATATCTTCCCTCACCAAGTTCATGGGGTCCACTGCATTCTATTTACTGCCCCTTGAGGGGCCTGGGACCCCAGGTTAAGAATTTGTGTGTTGAAGCAGAATCTCAGGCACAGAGCGGTCAGTGAGGCCCCGTGATCCTGACCTCTAGCGATGTGTTTCACTCCAGTTCCCCTAGCCGGTGTCCCCTGGGCATCAGGAGAGATGTGGAAGGACCATCCAGCCCCCTGGGCGCCCTGCAGTCCCCCACACCTGTGCACAGCACACGCACGTCTATGCACTGTGCAGCTCTTACCTACGGCAGGGAATGGCACGAATCTCTGGACGAGAAGGCGGGTGGCTGGAGTGAACTTGTTGGCTTTCTGAACCAGGACGTTAAGGCCCACCTTGGAAAGAAAAAGAAAAAAAAAAAACAACAGAAAATGTGCACAGTGCTGCAGTGGCTCGTGGGAGGAAGGGGGCAGAACTGGAGGGAGAGCAGAGAGAGAGGGGCATGGCTTTCCCCTGCAGTGGCACCCTAAAGCCCTGGCGTCACCTCATAGTGCAGAGCTCCCATGTGGCTAGAGTACCACTGCCCAGTCCTCCCAGGTACCAGGCCCACGAGACAGAGGGAGGGGGTACAGCATCGGACACACACACACTCACACACTCATGCTCACACACACCCACATCCACGGACACTCACACATTCACACTCACACATATTCACACTCACACACATACACACACATACACACTCTCTCACATATACACACATGCACAAACACACTCAGCGGAGGGGAAGGGATGGAACGGTGCAGTGGTTGGGGCTAGCACACATACTCCGCACATAAATTAAATGTAGGAACCCTCATTCCCACCCCGGCCTCTCAGCACCACCTTTCTGAGACCATGAGGGCTCAGGAGGAGACCCGCACACCTGCCCACAGGCTGCGGGCCAAGCAGAGTAGCTCAGAGCAGGACAGAGGAACGATGGAACCGCGCCTGCCTTCACTCCCCTCACCAGGCCCAGGACCCCAGGCGCCCACCCCAGCCCCTGCCTGGGCCTCCTCACTCCATCCATCCGTCGCCCATGCTGCCCTCATCTTTCTAGAGCACAGGACTGCCCACACCTGCTACCACCGGCTCCTCCCACGACCTGCGTGAGAAGGTGTAATCTCCCTCCTGCAGCTGCCCAGCCATCATAACCTCACCTCCCACTCCCCCGATACCCCAAATTTAACCCCATGAGTCCAGTTTGCTGGTCATCAGACGCTACATGAGCCTTCCAGCCCTGGGGCCTTTGCAGCGCTGGTCCCCAGGCCTGGCGTGCCTCCCTCCTCCACTTGGCCCACACCTGTTCTTTCAGTTCTGCCTCCAGTGTTAATGACTAGCAGTGGGACTTAGGGAGGTAAGTCATTTAACCTTTCTTGGCCTCAGTTTCCTTGTCTGTAAAAAAGGGATAGTAGTATCTACAATATCCCAGGGCTATTATAAGAATGTATGCAAAGTGTTGGGAATGAGCTTGGCACATAAAAGGCCTCAATAAGTAAAGCAATATAATAACAACGTCACTGGCTGGGATGGAGGAATCATGCCCTTTTCATCTTTGTCTACTACTAGAGCTGTGCACACCAGCACACAGCACGTGCTCAATAACCTGGTGATTGAGGAAGAAACACAGGAACCAACAAATGCCTGCATGCCGAGATCAGCGAAGGTGGGGAGACGGAGTTCTTGGAGGTTAGGCTAGGCAGAAGAAAAGGTTTCTGGTGGAGAAACAGCATGGGCACAGGCGTGGAGAGAGAAAAGACGAGATGCATGTGGCCGGACCCGGGGTCGGGAGTGTAGAGGTCTCAGCCTTCTGGGTGGCTGGGGAAGACGCAGAGCCTTGGGAAGGCCTCCAGCGCTGCTGGGTGTCTGCAGCAGTCACGGCAGTCGCTGAACAGCAGGAATGGCCCAGCCCAGGTTGCAACTGTGAGACCCAGGAAGACAAGCAGTGACAGCCCACCAGCCCAGGGCAGCCCAGCACCCTGCAGAGCCAGAGTGCTTCCTGGCAGACACGGCCGGGGACCTCAGTGTCTGGTCTCATGTCTTCACGTCCCAGGCTGATACTCAGAGTCCAATCCTTGTCCTCCCTGCTTGCTCGAGGGAAGGCTGGGAGGCAGGGAGACTCGTGGCAGCTTGGAAGTGCCACAGTGGTACAGTGGGGCGGGGATGGGGAGCTGCCAGCCACACTGGGCCCTAATGCCCCTGCCACACAGGTAGAACTCATCAAGCCCAGGTCTCCCCAGCTCTCAGCAGTGATGACTCAGAAATGGCCCCCACGTCCAACCCCAAAAGAAGCGCAGTGAGGGAAAGTGTGGGAGGAGGCAGACGGCTTTAGTTATGAAGAGGAGGGGGCTCGGGAGAAGCCGGTGAGCACCTCCTCCGTGCCGGCCACTCAGCACATGTTCACATGAACTATCTTAATGAAATCGCTACTGCAAGGCTTTTGGAGAGGCCCTTTTTATGGATAACAGACAGGTTCAGAGAGGTTAAGTAACTTTGCCCAAGGCCAGATAGCTGCTTTGAGGCAGGTAAAGCTGGGATTTGAACCCAGGGCCTGATAATTCCAAAGCTTTGCCCTTAAATGCTGTGCTGCTCACTTTCCAATGTCTTCCATCTCAAGGAGCGATGCTTTCAGGTCAGCATGCCATTTAATGGCACATCTGCATAGCAAGAGCCTCTCTGGCAAAGGCCAGCTTGGGGGCTTCCAGACGAGTGGAATAGAGAAGGCGGCTCCTGTCAGGAAAGACAGGGCCCTTGAGCCATCCCTGCCCCCTGCAGCTGGAAGTCAGGAGGTCTGGGCTCAAAACCCCACACGCTCATTCGGGAAGATGCAGGAAGTGCTGGAGGAGGGGGAGCAGGAGCCATTCGAGGAAGTGAGCAGGGAGGCTGGGACCCCTCCCCGTGGCAGCCTCTTACAGGTGGGCGGGGCTGGCATGCAGTAGCAGGGTAAGAAGGACTAGTGGCCATCAGTTGTAGCAAACACTCAGACTTGTTCCCCAGCCCCTGTGAAGCCTTCTCCTCCCTGGTCAGCCATTCTTCCCACTGGCTAGGACTGGCACAGTCCAGAGTGGGTCACCCATCCTATCTCCCCAACTGCAGGCAAGAGCCCAAGGTGGGGAGGAAGAAAGAAGAGAAAAAACAGTGTCCTGGTCCCAGGTCTCTCTGGCTTCCTCTTCCCTAAAGCCCACTAGGGTCTCCCCAGCCTGGATGGGGTGACATTTAATGAGGCAATGTATGTTTCTCAGAGCATGGCCAATATATGTGAGCACAAGGAAGGGGCCAGGAACCAGCAAGGTGGGGAGAGAACCCGGGCACGTGTGTAGCTGTGAGCTCATGAGGAGTCAGTGAGGTCACCCTGCCCACACACCGGTGATGGGCCTTGTGGCAGAGAGGGCACGGACACAGAGGAGGCAAGTAGCCTCTTACCCTCACCCCCCATCAGGCCCCCAGCCCAGGCCTTACTGCCCCAGTGCCTAGAACAGCCACAGCCTGGAAGGAACCCAGGGTAGGCTGCAGACCGGGGGTTGGGAGTCCGTCTGTTCTAGTTCCTCAGGGGCCCTTTGGCCTGCAACATTTGGTGGAGCCCATTAAAATTAAAAAGCCAAGTGGCTGGTGGCTCTGAATGCCAGCTCGTTTTCCCTGGCATGGTGGGTCCTGTTTAAGGGAACCAGCTGGCATTAATGGCACACAACTCATCACGAACAGCAGCTAGCGATCAGAAAATCAGAGCTAATAATCAGGTTTGGGAAAGATAATGAGATATGGAACAATCACTGCTGAGGGTCCCCCAGGGTCTGTTTTAACAGCCTCCAAATAAGCTACAAAATAGAAATTAACCAAACAGGAGCTCCATTTTGGCAGAGGGGGAAAACAAACAGGGTGTGGATTTTGCACAAGAATTTCTAGCATGGACAGCCACGGGGTCCCGGGAGAGGCACGACCCCGGACCCCATGAGCATTAGCATCAGCCTGAGGGAGGCCATGGACCTTCCCTGACCACTCATCTCCAGGCTCTGGCTACCAGGCTAGTGAATTTACCATGGGCAGCTGACGGGAGGACAGAGGAAGAGGAGGGAAGGCCAGCTCCCTGACAGTCCCCCGAGACAGGAAAAGGGCTGACCAGCGCCAAGAACTGTGCCTGGGTGGCAGCTCCATGACATAAAACCTTTAGTGTCATGAGCTATGTGACTGGTGGCTGCATCCTTAAGTACCAAGGGCTCTCCAGGCCACTAGCAGCCTAATTTCTTCAAGGCCAGCAAGGAGCCACTGGCTGGGGCTGGAGCAATGCCTGCATCCCTCTCCCACCAGGACGGCCCCTCCTCACTCCAGCCCGCATGTCCCGCCCAGGTGGATGCCTCTGTTTCCACAGGCTCCAGGCACTCCACCTTCACACATCCAAAACAAAGGTTACACTCCTCCTCACCCACACCCTTCCTCCTCACCCATTCCAGCTAAGCTCCTCATGCCGGAGACCTCAGACCCTTCCTGGGCAGGGGCCTCTCCCGGCCCACATCCAACCATCGCTCGTGGTTCTAGCTCCTGGATATCTTGAATGAGGCTCTTCTCACCCTCTGCTCCCACCACTTAGCACATGTCACCTCTCCCTGGATGACTGCCCACTCCTAACTGGGCCCCAGCTTCCACTCTTACGCCCACCAACCTACTCTCTACAGCAGCCAAAGTGAGCTTCTGAAGATGCATAGACACTTTGGGAGGCTGAGATGGAAGGACTGCTAGAGGCCAGGAGTTCAAGATCAGCCTGGGAAATATAATGAGATCCCCCTGACCCCCATTTCTGCGAAAAAATTAAAAAATTAGCCAGGTGTGGTGGTGCATGCCTGTAGTCCCAGCTACTTGGAAGGTTGAGGCAGGAGGATCGCTTGAGCCCAGGAGTTCGAGGTTATAGTGAACTATGATGATGCCACCATACTCCAGCCTGGGTGACAGAGCAAGACTTTGTCTCCAAAAAAAAAGAAAAAAAAGCATAGCAACCTGCTTAAAGGTATTCAGTGGCTGCTCACAGCATCAAGAGAGCCGCACAGCCCTGCGAGACCTCTCAGCCTCGCCTGCTTGGAAGGCTCCGGCCACCTAGCCACCTAGCCACCTTCCCCTCCCTCCCAGGAGCCAATCCTCCCCAGGGCCTTCAAGCCCTGGCCCCCAGGTCTCCTTGCTTTTCAGTCTCAGTGTCAAGCTCCCTCTTCACTCAGGGATCCCCTTTTACAGTATCTCAAAGAACCTGGAACTTTCTTCAATGCAACTATCACAGTCTCTAAGCATATATTTATTTACCTTCTTAAAAATGTATGAATCCAAGTAACACATGTATCTGATTAAAACAGTGCACAGCACAGAAATA